TGCTTCAAACCTATTCTTAACATGATTTTGAAATTCAGGTGGAACACACTCAAGATCATATTTTGTGCTCATGGACTTGTTTTGTTTTTTTTAAACTTCAGTTTGAACTTGCACATGAACAATTGATGGTCTGACCCGTAGTCTGCCCTTGGCCTAGGCTTTGACTGCTGATACTGAGTTTCTCCAATTCCTTCCACAGGTGTTGTCAGTATAATTACTGTGCAGTCCATCATGTGAAGTACTTGTGTAGTTACCATTTGTGTTTTTTTAAAAAGGTATTTTCAGGGAGCTATGGTGGTCTAGTGGCAAGAAGCTGCACTGCAATAACGAAGACAGGCGGTTCGAATCTACCAGATGCTCCACTGGAAAAGAGGGGCACCTTCCTCCTGTGCCGGTCAGATCCAGTTTGACAGTACACAACAAGAAAATGCATAAAATCTTTTTTTTAAAAAAACAAAGTCTTGTCCTGAAGGACGAGTTGCATTCTCTTGCTCTTCAATAAAAGAAAAGAGCACACCCATATTTATTACTGCTTTGTTCACAATAGCAAAGAGTTGGAAACAACCCAAGTGCCCATCAACAAACAAATGGGTAGAGAAGCGGGGGTAGATTCACACAGTGGAATACTACGCAGCACTGAAAAACAAAGAACTCATGAAATAATATACAAAACGGGTGACCATGGAGGACATCATGCTCAGTGAAATATCTCAGTCACAAAAAAGACAAACACTGTTGCAACAATGAACTAATGAAAATCCAAAGTCTCTGTAAGCTTTCATTATAATTAATAAAAAATTATTTTTTAAAAAAAGACAAATACTGTATAATGACACTGTTATAGAGCAGGACTGATATGGGGGGTGGGGGAACTAAGAGAAGAAGGGATAAATAATGTACACAGCATTGAAAGAGACAAGAGAATGAACTGTATAAAAGGAATACATGATTAGGTATTATTGGCATGACAAGAGTCCAGAGTAAGAGTTGCATAGTAAAGTGGGAGGGGGTGCTGTATAACAATGAAAGAATTTTTTTTTCCTGAAGAAAAACGTTAACTGGTGAGGCAGGGAGGAAAATGTACAACAGCATGTGAATGGAAATCCAAGTTCTTTATAAACTTTCATTAAAATCTTAAGAAAAAGGTATTTGCAATTAATAAATCGTTGAATAATAGTCATATTAACAGATCTTCCTCATATGCATATGGATAATATCCTATCATTCACAATACTGTACTTTAGGATAGAACTTGAAATTGACTTTTTTACTATGAATGCAACACTATCCCTGTTCTATTTTTCATTCCCAGCATAGTATATACCATGTGATTATCTGATTCATG